AAAATATGTCGATATATATCTGTATATTCAAACTAGGTGATACACGTGCTTGGATCAACAATCAATCGTGCGATGATTAAAAAAAAAAGTAAAGTTAAAAAATATAAACCAATTAAATTTTGATAGAGAAGAATATATATAATAAGACAAACCATTTTGGTTTCTTTATCTTCATCTTCACTTTCATCTAAATCATCATCTTCATCCTCACTTTCGTTTTCTAACTCATCATCTTCTAACTCATCATCGATTAAAAGATGATTAATTTCATCATTATATTCATTTCTATTATCGGATATTATTTTAGAGTTGTTATTATCGTCTATAATTATAGCATCCTCGGAAGTAGTTTCATCAGAATCATAAGTCAAGTCGGTAATGTCAACATCAATATCATCAACCCTACTAAAATCTGGTGTGGATCGATTAATGATGGATGTTAAGATAGAACTAGTAAGAGAAATAGAATTTTGAGCTGAATTATCGATTGGACAAGGATTAGATAAGCCCATTTCAGATAAGATGTTAATTACATATAATTATTCATTCCAAGTAAAATATCACCGTATATATACAAGATAAAATTTATTGAAACGACGGTGAATTTGCAGATTGTTTAATACATTTTGATGTAATCTAATGACGCAGTACATTACCTAATAACGTAATATTAGGTATCACTAAAGTGCGCAAACCAACCTGTATCGATTCGCTCAAAATTATCTGTTATTGTAAAACGCTAACTAAAATATCGTACCAATAATTTATGTGTATTCATCGTACAGTAATCTCTCTGTAACACACCAAGTTAATGGTGTAATTCAATAGATGACGTTTACATACTTCAGGAGAATAATTAATGATTCAAAGAATTATAAATTAAACTATAATAAGTTTATTGGTTGTTTCTTCAAGATCTTAATATATGTTATTGAAAAAGACGATATAAACCAGTAAATATATTCACTTTTACAACAAATTTCAAGTTGTGAAATTAATATTTAGCGAATGCAATTTTTAAACTGATATATATATATATAAACTTACCGACTCCAAAAACTCCTAACCCAACTTTTTTAAATTGAGCAGATCGAGATAATCCAAGTGCTACATCAGACTTAATTTTTTTACTATTATAAATTGCGTAAGAACCTAATCCAATAAAAGTTATAGACCCTACTAGTTTACAAGATAGGCAATCTTTATATTCAGATTGTTGAGGTTGTGGGGAATTTGATGATGACATTGAATCAGGTCTTTGGAGAAAGTTGATTTTTTTCATAATCACGATAACGATATCGATAACGATAATGGTAAGATGTTTTTTTTTTTATATCATCGCACGATTGATTGTTGATCCAAGCACGTGTATCACCTAGTTTGAATATACAGATATATATCGACATATTTT